AATCGCGTATCTCAGTTGACATCCAGTAGTAATCTCATGAATCATCAACCCAGAGGAAAAAATATGGGAGGGACGGAACGATAAAGTCGACTGATGACGATGGATTATCACAAAACTTGACAGTAAGGGTAAGGTCAGGTACATTCAACTAGTGAAACGGCATACATCATGCAAATTCTGACTTTTTGCGCATCTTTGTGAGGTCGACTTCCTCTTTAATTTTTGTCTAAAAGCTAATTTCAATAAATATTTTTGTAATTACTTGATGTAACGAAAAGACACGCCGAATTGTCACATTCACGGTCACTCAATAAAGGTGCCTATGCAAGAGCATCGGTATCAACACTAATTATTGCTCAATATGAAAAAATAATACAGCATCAACGTACTTCATTGAGGCATCGAATTACAGTGCCACAATGTACAAAAATTCGTTCAAAGGAAGTGTTGAAATAAGAAAGACAACAAACTTGCCACGAATATACGGTTCCACAAAACTCACCTCCATAAGTCTCGAGAACTTGAACACCTCCGCTGGGCTACGACCCTTGCGGTAGATCAACTGAGGCATGTGGTGGCTCATGATGCAAGTGTAGATCTTGTTCCGATGCTGAAAGTAGAATCGCAAATTATTCTTAAAAGGACATCTTATTAGGAATCAGAGTTTGCCTGGATCGAACTAAGCTAAGCAAACTGGTTCTTTACGGAGATAAACCAAATATGGTAGTGTTTACTTATAAGACGTCAGTAAAGTCGGAGACGAACGAGAGACTTACGTTAGCAGGAAAGTTGAAGAGATAGTTTTGAAGGTCAATTAGAAATATTTCAATCGCTGAACGTCTCAAATTGTAGCGACAGAGATGAACTTCTCGAATGTCATTCATGTTGAGTTCAATTGAGAAATCTTTTGTACCATCGCTTTTACGGAATTGATCTTAGAAACGAAAAGCGGAGTTCAGAAGGCATGAGTGCAATGATCTTAAATGATTGCATAAACCGCGACTAGTCCAAGAATCCAGTTTTTAACGGTACCATACTCACCAGCTCTAGTGACATCAATCTCGCACGAAACTGGCTCAGCGTGGTTCTGTAAGAAATGCAATGAGGTTGGTGTAATAGCGAACCACCCTGGTACGGTTCGGATTAGGGAAATGAGTTGACATGGAGCTCGCATTACTTCACCCTTTAATGGAGCAGGTTCCTCGAAGAAAAGAAGAGCAGGTACTGTTGACTCTTCTTCCTCTTCGTCGCCATTTTTCTCTTCACCTCCACCCATTTTCTCTTTTATGTCCCTTTTCATCAACTTTCCATAATTCTGTACAGAATCATCTGCAGAAACAGAAGTATTCACGAGAAATTCATCTACATCCGACTTTGACTGATCGGTATCGTTGGAGGACTTTGAAAGCTCAGCGCTTGAGTTGGAGTTGGACCTAAAGGCAGACTACAATAGTGAGCATTTTTTAAAGTCTGCCAACAACTATGTTCATGATATAGAGGTTTAAAACATTCCTGCTAGATGCAAGAGGTGTAGATGCACCACAATCATTAAAAAAGCACACTCAAAGTAGGGATTATAAGCAAGAATTGTATAACAAATAAAATTCTTCTTTACTCATCACAAGACTTGTCGGAGTTCGCCTGTCTAATCATTTTCCAATCCTCGTCAGCAACGAAATCTCCCCTCACATCCTTGTAACCAACCAAAGATCCCTTGCGTATTCTCTGTCGAAGAATGTCTGCCTGGTCAAGTGCTAACGAGGAGAAAACCCCACACTGCACCGTTGAGAGACTTCTCATTAACGGCGGTCTGTTTAAATCTTCACCAACAAGGGAGTACCCTATTGCTGCATTCCTCTCTTCAGTCTGTTGAAGGAGAAGACACAGCCGTTCATCACTTATTGCTGTACTCAGCTTTTGAAGCAACCTTTTGCCGTCTTCCAGAGTAGAGAGTTTCCGAATCAGGCCGTCACGCTCCTCACTTGCCGACAGATGCTTCGAGAACCATGGATTTGGTTCCATCATACTTCGCATCCGAAGTGGTGACTCAAGCTCTGAAAGGCGCCATCGAATCTCCTGCGGAAAACTACAAGAGTTGAGCATTAGTGAAGTCAAATTATCCAACAATGTTATTGTTGCAATATTTAATTAAGCATGTATCATACACGATATGCACCGCTTTCTGAAAGACCACGAATATACCGAATCTTGATACAGCAGTACAGTGGTTTAGACCTACCATCAGTTTTCCAAACATTTTACTCTTCAACTTTACAGTAAGGTTTCAGTCGGTAGGAAGTTTATTTGAGCGAATGACAGAAAGAGCTGCA